ACTTGCTTTTTGAAGGTGTATACTGATCCAATGGTCGTACGCTGACCGCTCCTACCTTGTGGCTAGGCTTTTGGGCCAAACGCTTTGGTTGAGGACCTTAGACGTCCCGCTGCCCACGTTTTGGCATCCTGACAGCACTCCAGCCCCTAAGAAACTTATGCTCGCTAAAATTACTACGACACCGAATCGGACGTTGCGTGGTTTCGCCAGCCAGGTCACCCTGTTTGTTGCATACTGCAGACGCTGAACATAAAAACGGTTCACAATTTTTTTGAAAATCTGAGACATATCCGACTGTTAACTAGCCTGTTTTCCTTAACATACTTGTTCAACAAGGTATACTCTAGATGTTCGTCAGTATCTTCAGCTCCTAATGTCCTGACTTTCGGACGTACCTGAGCATACGGGAAGCTCCCCACGTACAAAAAATGGAGTTCGAACAAGGTGTCCACTCCCCCAGTCCACATTGAATCCCGTGATCGACGAGAAGATGACGCGAAAGTTCAAAGGTTGTTAAAAGTCTAGTGTTCATGAAGCTGCTGTTGAAAACCTTGTCACTCAGTACTAGACATTTTCAGGTTTTCGATAACAGTTGTCTCAGTCACCCTCCGTGCAGACTGATGACATAGAATCCGCAGCGAAGCAATAAGGAAATCCGAAAAGTGGCGACTGTTTTTTACATGTTAGGCAGGCCAAACCACCCTTTGTCGAAAAGGGTGTTGTCCTCTCTCCAAGATCAGAGTGGCGCAAGTAAAGTGGTTGCAACGGCTACCCCCCTCCCCGCTTAATTACCCCTCCAATCAACCTAATGCCTGCACCTACTATCCCCATCCTGTTTTGTGTCTAACAATGACGCCTCAGCATCGTGAAACGAGTACGACCTTAACGAACATGTCAACTCCGGTTCCGTGAACCCATTGTTGTTTTCACGTTCCACTTATTGTAACGGTCAGCCACACACACACGTCAGGACGCAGACCGGCTCAACATATCGGCCCAGCGCGTCTGAACAGCAAACCGCATCGGCCCTTGGATCTACTGCCATCAGCAAACTCAGGCCTCTCTTCGTTCAACCTCACCAGGGACCTTAAAGACTGATAAGTTTCCTCAATTTGTGTTTCGTTTTCTGCGTTGTATTTATATTAATAAGTTGCGCCTACCTTTCTAATCTGATCAAACCTTAATAGTGTCTCTAGCTTCTGATATTCGATTTCAACGTCTATTTGCTAGAGCACTAATATGGTCAACCTTTAGCCTGGTAGGGGATTATGAAAAAGATTACGAAAATCCTGGGTAGTGTAGCTGCGACCCGTTCTCCAGGATGGGCCCGACTTAGCCATCCCTCTTTGCTTGCTTGAAGACGGCACAAGATATGGGTGCGGCAGTAGCGTTCTTAACAATAACGACCCAGATTGTCTGAATGAGTGCCCTGAGATATAGGCAACTCGAAGTGATTGATAAGTTAGTGCCATCCAATCCCAGTATCTTCCTCACAGGTTTTAAAATAAACCGCGATCGTGCGACAGCAAAGACCAGTGTTACATACGGATGGTATACTGGTGATGATGATAATGGGATTTTCGGTTCGTTGAAACTACGTCATCTTAGGGGAGCATCGTATACTGGGAGGATGCTTGTTGGCGATTAATGTTGCGCTTGTATCAGACTATGAAGCAGGACGGACAAAATATAACAACATAGGCAGCTATGCCGTATAACTTGTATGCACTTCACAACCTTAAATCAACTAATTTGGAAACAAACATGATGCGTTCAAAGCAAAGTGCTGCGGTTGTTCGAGTGGTCTTTGGAAAACAACACGTAGGCGATACGTGAAAAACCAAATTCGCCCGCTAGATCATATGCCTTGAATATCAGATGGCTGTCTGTTCAACGGGATCCTCTTCACCAAACGGCGAAAACGCCTTAAACAGCGAAGTTCGAAAATCAGGAAACGCAGATATCATCTCGAGAGATCATACGGATGATTAAGCTGGCATATATGATCCCGGTGTGCTCCAGTTATTGTTCTGATTGCAAACCAGTTCCATGCTACATCAATAAAAAAACAATCTCGTAACCGAATTACACTGAGCTGTTACCTTCAATCCAAAGACAATATCTTCCCCTCACTCTATTCTTACCAGTTACATAGTTTGATGAGAGAACATGAAAAGAATTAGAAATTGTAGTAAAACAGCCTACATTGTTCGCGGCTGAAGTGGGTATCATCCAGACACTGTACGGTCATACCACAATAATTCAATGTCATATCAAAGTAAATGAACGAAACGGACACACTACACAAATCATTCCGGCCAACTCCGGTATTCTAACTCTTGAAATCTTCTAAGTGGAACATTTGCAACCCATAGTTGCGTCTTCGTGCTCACCGATTCAGAGGCGCGCCGCAGAAGTGTCAAGACGATCGACAGGAACTCAGCAAACAAAAACTATTACCTTGAAGACCAAATAGCGTGATTTTTTTATACTTTTATGCAGGGCACTTGGGCCTTCACTGGGCTATGAAGTTCAATCGGTGAACCCGGTTGGGTATAGTTAGGACCCACCTTTTTGGACAAATTTTGATTAGTTCAGTTTCATAGGTTTATAGGATAACTACGGCAACGAAACTAAATGAAGACAGAGAAATTAGTGGAATTCAACAACACTAACATATTGCTACCTATTTCTGAATGCAGCTTGTAGTTATTTTCTGGTCCCTTCAGACTAAGGTCAAGGACCAAAAAAACAGACGATAGTATGACAGATAGGCTGCAGTTACCAGAGTTTACATCCAGTGAAAAAGCATGGTACCTTTAAAACGTGGATGTTTTTGAACGCAACTACAGCGTAAACAGCCCTTGTGACGTTTTTGCCCGGTTAGTGACAGCGCAAATAACTACAGCAAAATGGCTCGAGCTAGGCCTTAGTGACAGTGCAGCCGCACAGTCCATAACGCAAAACCGGTGAAATATGGTTCGTTCACAGGTCACATAATAGTAAGCTCGAACAGGACGTTAAGCTTGCAACAGCAAGCGAGAAATCATTAGAACCATGTGTTAACTGCAACTTTTGTTTCGGTCAACCTAGCACGAGGCCTGCTACAAAACGAAGCAGTGTGTTGTAGAGGAACCCTCAGTGCACATTTCACAAACGATCAGAACTGTCAGCTGCCGTCAGAGTACCTTAGTCAGATAGATGTCGGCACTCAGCGCGCACGCAGCTGAAACTGTGATTGCTGCGTAGCCGTTTTCAGTACTTGGGGTGAGCACAGTCCAGAAATGAGATGACCGAAATGAACCGGTGCATTCAAGCAGTCTACATCATGCACGAAGCATTCATCTCATAGGGAAGGATCAGAGAATATCCAAGGTTTGGTGATTTTCTGCAAATCTAACTGCCAGATAAATTCGGCAAGTGATTGTAATGAACTCGGAGTTGTTTCATCCCCACAAACTGCATCTTTCCTTTCAAAAGAACCACTCGTGAAACTCCAAGGATGAGCGTCTTCCAACTCAGTCAGCCAGCAACGACTCAATCAGCGAGGTTGTAAAAGGTAAAAAAAAGGTTGTCGCTGATATCTGTGCCTGATTATTGACTAGTTCAAGTTGCCAACACAGACTAGTGAGTAGTATTGTAAATCGAGACGATTATTAAGGTTGCACATCCGCATGCAGAAGTGATCATCATCATCATTGTCAGCTGTAAGAACCGCGTACTCGTCGTACAGTGGTTG